GGCCGCGGTGAGGCCGCGCTGAGGCGAGGCGCGCGCTGCCTGCGGCGCCGGGCTCCGGCGGGGGTTCCGTGCCYTTCGCGACGGCCTCAGGGCGATCGCAGCGTGTTAACAGGAGAGAGAAAAAGAACTAAGTGGAACAGAAGCGTCACGTTCCAAAACTGTTATTTATTTTTTTCATTTGGGCCCAGCCRTTGGTTTCTGTGGCCTCATTCCAACCCTGGAAAAAAATCCCTTGATTTCTATAATTTCATTTTAGGGTATTCTGAGGGCATTTGCCACCATCCAAACTTGGCTTTTTGGTTTATGTTTGTCCCTAAACCTTATAAGCATCAGCTGTTGTCTGCACCCTCATTTCTCTCTCTTTATTTCCATTTCTGTTCAATTTATTTTCTTCCTTGCCCTGTCTGCAGCTCTGTGTGATTCTGTTTTTGAGTTTTGAAGCCTAAAATAGTTGTGGAAATAATACATAATTAAATATGCATTCTATTTTCCCCTGTGTAATTATCCTCCCAGCCTGATGTGTCTGTATCCGAGCTCTTCAGAGCTGCTCCCTGTCGTTTGTGCGAGTGTCTGGCACTGCGAGGCCTTATCTCAATTGCTTTCTAGATGCTGTCATGAATAACACAAATAAATAACACAAGCGAGGGGTGGAGTTTGTCATTTCTGGCTATGCATAGGATTGCTTCTTATTTTTTAATTTATTTTTACTCCTTTGCTTTTCACTGTGCTCTCTTGCTATGTCTGAAGCAAATTTAATCGCTGACATTTCCCTCCCCCTTCAAGTAAATGTCTTTAATTAGCAAATTTAATTAGTAAATTCCTGTAAAGAAAAACTCACCCCTCTCTCTCAACTTGGCAGTAAATAAAGATAATGCTTCTTTCCTTATGAAAAGGGTTCTGAGTGGATAATGTTTTTAAAAATACCCTGGAAAGGCTGATATTACAAATTCATGTCACTCTCAATACAGCTGAAAAAGAAACTTAAGTAAATTATTTTTGTCTTCTGATTGGATAGCTAGATTGGATTTCTGTCTAGGCTCTTTATAATGACTGAAAATATAAAGGTGCCTCAGTACTGACACTTTTCAAGAGACTAGATTCTTTCAATTCAAGAAATTTGTTTCTTTCTTGAGATGTGCTACCCTAACTAGTGGAGTTAAAAAAAAAAAAACTTTTCCCATTCAAATTAAAAAGAAAAAACATTTTTTTTCCAGCTTCATGCCTGTTTTTGGAGGAATCACACAAACGCAATGAGGTTTAGCTTAGCAAAGGTAGAGGAATTTTTGATCAAAATTCTCTTACTTTTTTTTCCAGATAAAGTGCTAATACTAGTTATTCTTATTTGCATTAGGTTCACCAAATCAATCTTAGTTTCAGTAATTTCTTACTAGGAACTATAAATACCTTTACTACGTGGTCATTTTTGTAAGGTTAAGTCATTTAAATGTCCTACTGGGACAAAATTTTATGTGATTGTTAGTTTATCGCTCTTACTGTTAAAAACATAATGAATGTCTGCTTTCAAATTTAGTTTAACGAGGGTAGTATTAACTCTAAAAATGTGTGTGCTGTTCTTTTGTATCTTCCTGTTTATCTATTGAGCTCAATAACAGTGGAATATTTATTTCTAGGTAAAGCAGAAGAGAAATGCCCGATTCCGTTTCTCTTACGGATAAAAACATCCTCAAAACAAATTTGCAGTGACCAGAAGTAATCAGCAAAGACGTAAGCCATTTTCCAGAATATTTACTGCTCTCGTAATGGAGATCTCTCAGCTGCAGCAGATGTATAAGGATGTGCTGGTGGGCCTTCCACTAGCAAAGGAGAGCCATCATTATACATCTCTGCTCGATCTGCGTATTGAGCAGCCACCCAAAAGAGATGAATCGGGTAATCAGATGCATCTGCCCTCTCCTGAGAGTGATATTAGGAGCCATCAGGACCCTGATATTTCAGGCACTGCTGTCCCTATCACAGATGATGTATCTAATAGCTTTGCAAACATCAGCTCCTCGTTCTGTCCGCGAGAAGTGATGCTGCTTCAGTTAACCTTGATCCAGATGATGGTGGCAAAGGTACAGTCCCAGGAAATTGAATCTGATGCCAGACAGAAATACTGCGTTATCTTTGTCCGTCTTCTGAAGGAAGCAAAAATTGACTCAAAACTGGTAAGCTTTTAAAAACTTTTGGAAGAATTTTATGTAACGGAAAAGGAAATTGTAACTTCAATACTTTGTTGATTTTTTTTTTTCGTATGTCTACAGATTTGTCTAGTGAATAGTTCTGATCAGCTGTTATCTCACATGGCGTCAAAAAGTTTAGCATCTCTTGTGTATTTCCAGCTGAAGGAGGAGGTGAGTATAATAAAACCTTAAATGAGCATGATAAAACCACAGCTTAGAAATGATGAGGTAATGAATATTTGCCTTCAGGTAATGAGGTAATGAATATTTGCCATTTGATTCTAGAGCCTGCTTTTTGTAGTGCTTATTTGGCAGAAAAGCAAGGACTACATGACTAGGGTAAAATCTATCCCTACTTAGGGTGTGCAATCTGCAGTTAGATCCATGGAGCAATGCCAGGAGTGCTCCTTTCCTGCACGTGTTGCTGCACCTCTGTTACACTCTAGTTTTTGGAAGGAAAATCTACACACTGCTGGCGTTCAGCATGTTGGTTCACTGAAAATGTCATACAGTTTTGTTAAGCTGTCTTCAACCTAGAATCGGGAACAAGATGAAAGCTCTACCATATCTATATGACAGTTTTCCCATAAAGAGATATATAGTCATAAGTGATCAATAGGAAGGATATATAATAAACATTCCAAGAGAATTTTCCAGTCATGCTAGGAGAGGCACAAGCCTGTGCGGAACGAAGGGAGATGGGATGTGCAGTGGGAGTGAAGTTTGGAATATGAGGAATGTTTTTTCTATATAAAGATCTGAAACTAATTTAAAGGGAAAAAAAATGTCTCTGGGATGTAAAGAAACATGTTCTTTTTAAGATTGCAGTGTGTAAATTGCCAAAACTCGGTAAGCTATTTTATCAATATGTTTACAGTTACTTGAGCTGTTAGCTGTTGCAGTGACAACAATAGGCAATTACCTACTGAACGCTAATCAGAGACTTCCCTGTATTTTGTTGTCTGAATATTTCAATGTTTACTGCTTTTTCTACTTGTTATATATTTGATGAATATGTATTGCACCCTAGTTGCTTCTCTGAACAGGGATTTCTTTCAGAAGCATGTTTGTAATATTTATTTCAAAGATGGGAGAGACTGGGAGACTGTGAATTACTAATTTCTACAGCACTGTCAGGTTTTGGGGCAGGTCATGTGTCATTAACTTTTTTTTCTGCAAAATACAGATAAATTCCATTACGTAGTTATTTGACTTCACACCTGTAAATACAGGTCTACATATTTAAAAGTATGAGGATCTCTTCCACCTATTTTGCTCTATGCCTGTGTTTGCATCTCCTAAAAGCCACAATTTAAAATTCATGTATTGTGGTTGAATGTAATTTGCACAATTGTAAAGCATGCGTGATTATTTTTGAACTTTTTCCTCTAGAATGCACTAAATGTCACCTGGCTCACCTTTAGTCTGGAGATTCTGTCAGAATTCCCTATGAATCCTCAAGCAGCAAAATGTATGTGGACTCTTACAGCCATTATCAGGGACATTTTGAAAGATAAAGTTTTACCTAAAGCAGGTACTGTAGCAAATTTATGATGTTATCAATGTACAACTGCCCGCTAGGGGGAGGAATATCACTTATAAACTCCAGAGCACTGGTCTGAAAATATGAATAGTGCTGGGTTATTTTCTTGGGTGAGAAGAGGGGGGTGTGTTTAACATCTTTAATGTGCTTAAAAACTGAAAATAATCACAATCAGCTGTTTGCTGGTATTTTAGGTGAGGTAGACTGTGGAGTACTTCAGCAAGTGTAACTCTGGAACATTCTCCTTTTGCTGTAGGTGTCTTGAAGAAGTTGCTGGCTCCTCTTGACGCTGTGCTTGAAGGGTTTTATAATTCCATTTTGTGTCATCATTTCGACAGTCTCCGCTATACTTCCCCTTATTCTGAAGCCGCAAACCATTTGATCAGTTTTATAGATCTGCTTGAAGCTCTTCTGGCTTCCAGAATTGAGTTAGAAGTACCCCTGAGATGCCAAAGAGTGTTATTTTTGAAGGTTTCTTATGTCCTGAATTGCATTAGCTCATCAGTTCATTATTTATTTAAGAAGAAATTCATTATGCTCCTTAAAAAATGCATCCTTTACAAATCTAGAGAAGATTCTGTAAGTGGATCAATGTCTGTACAGAAGCCTTGTTTATCTGAGGACGTTCTCGCACTGAGTAATGGGGTTCTGCAAGGTGTGAGTTTGCCTTGGCTTAATGAGATCCCTCTTGGTGAAAAAACGAGCTACTTTGGAGGCAGCGAGCCCCATCCTGGAGATGACACTCACAGTGGTCCTGACCAAACCCTTCTCAGAGCCCTAAGTCTAATTGTGCTTAAAGCCCTGGAATTCAAGTCTCAGAGCTCTGCCACAGAAGCCGAAGTCAAAGGTAAAACAGTCTTTTTGTTTTGTTAAAGTAGCAAGAGTCTTAATGAGCTGTGGCTAGAAATCTGAAAGCTTTACGACTGTAAATGGAATTAAGCTGAATTAAAAGTTATTGGCATGAAGAATTTGATTTTTTTTTTTCCTAACATTTAACGAACTGGATGTTAGMGCATGGAGTAGGAGGGAGCCCACACAGAAAACCTGCTGCCACTGTTACTTGGTACTCTGCTCATTAGTTGTCTGTTTGCCTTTGGTCCTTGCCTTAGCCTAGGGATAAGGGGGGCTGAAACAGCTGCGTTTGGGATTGAAAACCCTTCTTTTTGAGAACATTTGTAAATATATGAAATAGAAGAACCAGCTTGAGCAAATGGAACTTCTCTCCCACTGGGAAAGAAGAGAGCCCATAAAAGAAGTGTTTATTCTGTTTGTGGATGGAGAGCGCTACAGGAAGGGCACCTAATGCTCTCCTGCTTTCTAATGGGGGTGCAGACCTTTAAAGTACCATTGTCTTAATCTTCATAGACCGTACCACGCATTACTGTCAGATAATACTGTTAAGAGGGCAGAAATTGCAATGGTGGAAAAAAAACAAAAACGAAACAACAACAACAAAGGAGCCTGTGGAGCAAAAGACAGGAAAAAATCACCGAATGGTTGAGGTTGGAAGGGCCCCCTAGAGATCGTCCAGTCCAACCCTCCTGCTGAAGCAGGGACACCCACGCCATGGGATACCTGGTCACATCCAGGCAGGTTTGGAAGAGCTCCCAAGAAGGAGACTCCGCAACCTCTGGGCAGTCTGTTCCAGGGCTCTGACATCCCCACAGGAAAGTTCTTCCTCACATGGAGATGGAACTTTTTGTGCTTTGATTTTTACCCATGACCCTTTGATCTGTTGCTCGCCACCACAGAAGAATTTAGCTCCATCCTTATGTTCTCCCCTCTGGTACATATATGGATGTTTTCAGAGGGTAGTGTTTTTCTCTACCCTCAAAGGGTCAAATCCCTCAAATAGACTTCAAAGGTCTAATCCCACGGATTAGTAGGTGCTAGGCATACTTTTCATACCTGCATGAGTGTGTTTGTCCCGCTGAGTAGACGAGGTAGATCATGAGAAGAGCAGATGCTAGAGCTTGTGCTAGGGCTATGCCACAAGGCAGGCAGTGGGAGAGCAGGGCAGTCTGTGTAACTTGTGTCCCTGGCGGGAGGGAAGCCCTGCTGGGTCACAGCCAGCCTGGTGCTGGGCTGAGCCTGTYCCCTAATGCCTGTGTGACACTCCTGGCATTGCTCCTTCCCGCCTGGCATTGCTCCTTCCCACCACCTTTTGCCAGCACGTCTCCGACTCCCAAGCCATGTGCATGAGCAAAGCAGTTTCCTGACCCAAAACTGCGGCAAAAAGGCAAAGCTGGCCCAGAAACAGTGTTGCTGGTGAAATACAGGTGAGAACAGCTGCTCCTTCCTGCCAACCAGGTGTCAATGGGGTGAAAAGTCAAAGGTTTGTCTCAGGAATGAAATTAGTATTATAAATGTACTGGGGCATTTTCTACAAGTTCTAGATGTTATTTGGCTTTATATACTTCTACGTTCTGTAGAAGGCATAAAATCAATTTTTTTCTTCATCTGACTGTGCAAAAGAGCTGTAATTTTGCAAGACTGCTTCTGATGCTTTTTCCAGATTTTGGAACATGTCTTATTTGTGATTCCAGCTGCATTCTCGGAGTTTTTAAATATTTATAGAGAACATCTTCYTTACAGCCTTCCTTCTGAAAACATATAGAGACTTTGAGATCCTTCAAGAAGAAGTGAATAGAAGTAATCTAAAAATATTTTTGATACCTTCTTTTGATTAAAAAGAAATCTGACTTTTGTAAAGCAAAGTGTCTCTTTTTTTTCTCCAGACTCATGCCACAACCCGCTTCTTTTTTTTTCTTTTTTTCTTTTTTTTTAAAGTAGATTCAAATACCATAACCATCACAAGGAATTTCAAGTTGAAAGTAATGGCGCTTCTATTTTACTTACATTAATAGAAGTGGTTAGAACAAGCACCAGAATACTTTAATGTGCTAACTTCCCTTCCGGGAAGCCAGTTGATCCTATCTTCTTTTATTAATATGAATTAGAGAGGCTTAACTTTAATTCATTTCAATTTTGAGAGTACTTTCCAGATAGCTTTGATATACAGAAAAGAATTTCAGTCTGAATAGTAACTATTAATAACTAAGATAATTTGCCTTTTTTGTACGTCTTTGCTAAGAGGAAAAGCAAATCTCAAAATCAAACACTCAGGCAAACCACATAAATCTGGGTTTGGAAGTAAAATTGATTCCTGTGTTGCAAGAAGTATTGTAAATCATTAAGCACCGTTTATATGAGACATGCAGCTTTGTTCTTCAAGATACGGTGTCCCTCCAGCAGCATGAGAGTTCTTACTTAAGGTGTATTTTCCAGGTAAAGATGGATGTTACTGTTCGTGTGCCTGCTTTTATTTTCTCCCCATCTTCTACATGTTGAATGTATGTGACGTTATATGAAAAGCTGGTACCTAGCTTCAGACCTGTAGAGTCTTTTTACAGTGTGCCATTAGCACTGAGCAGGACAGTTTCTTGACTTTATGGGGAGCAGTCTATAGCTCAGTTATATGACAACTTTCAAGAGTAACACTGCTAAAATAATGTAAGTTTTGTAGTGTGTTTTATTATTGTTTTGTTAGAGGAATGACATTCTTTCTTCCCAGAGAGTAGAAATCAACTGATTATCTACAGAGAAACATACATTAGGAGGTTTAGCTTCAACCCCATTAAAATATTAAAATTATATTGTCYTTTCATGTGGAAAGGACTGAGATGAAATCTCACCAAAAAGCTCATATTAAATCTGTGGCTTTGACTTGATTATACAATCAAAGTTTGCCATGTACCAGTGAAGCTACCTAACCAAGAAGATAAAGAAATACAGGAACCCCAGCTGTGGGGGTTTAAGCTTTTACAAACTTCCTCTAGCTACAATTTTTGGAAAGTGTGTGATTTTATTCATTAGGCTTTGATGTTTAAGAGGATTCACCCTGCTGCACCCAAAAGTGTTTGTCCCCTCTGATTACTTTGCCTTGAACTCCAAGGGGGATGAGTGGCTTCTAAGGACATGGTTTTATGAACAGCTGTATCCTTAAATTTTATGCGTGACATTCATTGTTATTCATTGTTGAATTTTAAAAGTGTGTATGTTGTTTAGAAGCAAAAAAAAACCATAATAAATATAACTTTTTTTTCTCTCATTTTCAGGAGAATTTCAGAGCTCCATGTCCCAGTTGTTGGCATTCTGGAGGGGTCACCTGCCGTCTTCCTCACATTCTCACCCTGTTGTACATCACTGTGAATGGCTTTCCTTGATTTTCATAGAGCAAGATGATGATATGTGGGAAGCTGCTAAAGCATTATTGCTCATTTATTTAAAATTTCACAGGTTAGCAAACATTTTATTTGACAGAACTGTTGTGAAATACATAATAACTTTCTTATAGTGACTTTGCRTAAAGAAAGTATATTAGACTCAAAACTATGTAGTAATGTGTGGTGCAAGAGATATTATCTTTTCTGATAATTCTCTTAAGCGTTTTGGAATGAACCAAGTTGTGCAAGTTTAATGTCAAATACCTTATTGTTTTTTGTAATGCGGAGTAATTGATTTCACAGATATAAAATGGTGATCGTACACAGGTAAAAGGCAAGACTGTTTTCTTTCAACATTGAGAGTTTGAGAAGAATGCAGTAGTATAACAAAACCCAAGAATACAGGGACTTGTGGCRTAGTAGCCATCTAAGCACTGGACCCTTGTTAATTCCAGGTATTTGCTTTGGAAAAAGAAAAAGACGTTATAGACATCTGAAACATGATGTTCATGAATTGGCCATGAACACTCACTGCTTTGTGGCTGTTTAAAATCTCATATAAGACATTACCCTAATTTCTAAGAGCTCAAATTCTTATCCCTCAAGCTTCAAATTTAAAGATAGTTTCTTAAATATATAAAGTATTTCCTTTATATACATATATATATATATAAAAATATAAATAAAAAGGCACATTCAAGTAGGTCTCCTTTTTCCAGTAGATTTAGCCTTCTGAAAGGCTAAAAGAAAGCTGAAAGAAAGCCTTCTTTAAAAGTGCTCTGGCTTCCCAAATTCTCTGATCTCACGCCTGCCTGAATTCTTTGTCATTCTAATATCAAAACATTATTTTTGGCAAAATCAGATGTGCCTGATGCGTTATTAGATTCCAAATTGTTACGTAGCGTAGGCGGGATGAAATTTAAAAACTGTGGGTCTTGCATAGGAAGCACTTGTAACAAAGCAAGTTCCTTTGTCTTGATTCCAGTAGGTGCTTTTCAGCAGATTTTCTTGACTTAAAATATTTTTTGAAATGTATCATAAAAACAGCCAAGTGCAGCAGGATCTGGTATGCATGCTTTTAAAATCTGCGTTTGAAAACACCAAAAAATGGACAACATTACAGTTGATCAAAATACCAAATTTTAAACAATTCCAGACTTCCATTGAATTTAATCCATTTCACTAACTGCTTTTCAGGTTACAACGCGATGCTGCTGATAATTTAAGCCTAAAAGAGGAGGAAACCTGCAACTTCCTTKCGCATGAAATTGGCTGTAATCCCCATTGTATCTTTTTATTCTTCCTAAAAAGTATTGCATTTGATTCCACAGTTCTTCTAGATTTTTTGATTTCATCGGAAACTTGTTTTCTGGAGTATTTGGTAAGGTATTTGAAACTTCTTAGGGAAGACTGGCACCATTTTATCAATGTCTGTAACCGTTTTGATAGGAAACATGGCACTTCTCAATCCGTTTCTTCTGACATACCACCTCATCGTGCAAAACAAAACTGTATGACTGATGTGAGTTTGCAGAATGCCTGTTGTGAACCAGCTCCACAGAGTGTATCTTTGGCATCTTCTCACTTGGTTTTCACAACAGAGCAAGATGATAATGAAGTTGTGGAGTCCAACCAGTCTAACTCATTGCCATGCACTGAGAGTGCAGCTTTGCTGGGTTCTCTTCAAAGCCTTGTTAATTATGACAGCTCAGAAGATTCTGAACAAGAATCAGTTGGAAAAGAGTGTGTGGTAAAAATAAAGCAGAGGCCTTTAAATTACGAGGGCAAGGCAAAGATAAGGGAAGCTGTTTGCAACTGCACAGGTGATAAACAAAATGCCCTCAAATCTGAAGTGTTGCCCCTGAAGCAAAAGGGAACTAATACCTCATCCTTGCTGCCTTGTACAGTGCCTTCAGATAACATCATTCCTCTAAGAATAATGCTTTACAAATCAACTGCATGTTTGGAAGAGCTGCAAATAGCTATTTCTAGGTTGCGGAGAAAAAACCTTTTCCCATATAATCCTTCTGCATTGCTCAAACTGCTGGGTTGCATTGAGAAGATCAGTAAGAACATGAATTCATGTGAAGACAAAGAAATGTCTTCCTGATTTCTCACTTGTCTGCAAGGGAATGTTTACATAAGATAAATGAATTCCAAAACTCATGCATTTGACACCTATCATGTATTTGAACTGAACGGGCTAACCTTGTTTTTGTTGACACCTTAAAAAGATCTGAAAATCTGCAGTTGCATTAGATGACCTGATCCTGTTGCCTTAGAGTCCCAGGTTTATCTACGGTATGTGTGTCACTGTATATAAAGATGAATTGTTAGGTATTAAAAATCTGCTAATAAATGATTAATCTGAAGCTGTATCAGCAGTATATGATATTTAAAGTGATGTCATTTAAACCCAATGTCATTCTAATTTGTGAAATCATTGCTAGATTTGTGTCCAGTGTGGTGTTGCTGCAACACTGAGATGCCTTGATGTTGTGCCAAATAAAACCCTTAAGTCAGGGACAGTTCTTTAGTTTGGGTTAATGCCGTGAGTCCTGCATCGGTGCTCTGGCCTATGAAAAGGTCTCTCCTTGGCTGAAAGACTTAGTTGATATCTAGGATGAATGTTTAGCTTTTATTGTTTACCTGGTTTAATCAGCAGTGCTACCATTTCACTGAAAGTTGGATTTAGTGTTTCTTAAATATTTTATAGTATATTCCTTAACTAAAAGGAAATTTAGATGTTGGACTAGCCTATCTGTAGAGTGTTGTAATGCTGCACGAAATCTAAATTCCACCTTGGGTAGCATTGAAGTGAAATTCTAACAAAATTGCCCACTTCATTACACATTCATATGCACATACACACATACACATGGAAATATATGTCTATATACACATGTAGATGAAAGGGATATAGATTTTTAAATACTAAATTAGAAATAATTCAAATTAAATATTTGTGGTGCAGTAAGATGGAGGTTGAACTTAAGCTTTTACACTTGTCCCCTCAATTAGAGCAAATTTTAATTATCTGAAATGTGTCTAACACAGTGCCAAAGACAGGTCAGAACAGGATCCAAAGCAGTGGAAACCAGCACTGTTGGTGCACTTACCATGCAGTTTGTAATGATCTTCGCCTGTTTAGGCAAGGGGGAACATATTAATGGCAGGGAGGATTATCTAAATTCCCAGACCATCTCAGAATCGTAAGGAACAGTCTTCCCATGTGTAAGATCCCTTCCTGAAGTTGTGCTCTATTCTCTCAAGGAATTGTCTTCCTTTTAAAGTAAGTATGTAATTTAAAATACGTATTGAGTAAGATAGCAGTCTTTGGAGTACTTTACCACCACATCCCTGTGGTCATCCGCTAGATTAGTTTTGAGCTCTTTAAGTTTTTACCAAGAAAATGTTTATATTTTGCACTTCTCTGGATAGAAGAGGGTAAGACACTTTGAGAGTCTACTACTGATGTGATCAAACAACTTTTGCAATATTCTGTAGGTGTTAAAAGTTTATTTTCATACACTTGTTAAACCMGTGCTTGTAGCCCCAAGGATCAACTTTCTTTTTTTAATCCTGTGTTATTTAGATTGTTGCAAATGAATTCAAAAACTCTTTTTTAAACTAATTGGTTGACTGATTGGTAAATGGCTAGTGTTCCAGCCAGAATATTTTGTATCTTGGTTTGCTATRTCTTAAGATAGGACTAGCACATAGAAGTCCTATTTAAGCAATTTAGTAGCACTGTGCTTGGAATGGAGAGCATGAGCTGTAGAAGGCAAGCCTYGGATAGGTTTTTCTTGTTACCATTTTGTGATTGCATGCATAAGGCTTAGCAAGGACATTTTAAGGACAAAACAGACTAGGATTCTGCATTAAAAGGCTGGCAAAACTGCAACCAAATTAATTCCTCACTGAAGCATACATGCTTCTGTGTGCCTCTAGATACAACATGATGCTTAACTACTGTCCTGGAAGCTTATCAATAAATTCTGTGTTCAATACTTGAATGCAGTTCAGCCAGGAAAGAAGTTTGCTACAACTTGAAAGAAATTGTGGTATTCATAAGCCTCAATTGTTAAATACGTGAGAGAAATTGCAGAGCAAGTAGTTGCCAGGCAATGTCAGTATCATTTCCTGAACTCTTTTCCTAAGGTATAATGGAAGCCTATTAATGATCTGGGTTTTGCATCTCGGCTCGGCTGGGGTATCAACAGGAGGGTGTGTTGAAGTCAGTTTCCTACTTTCCTGTCCATTCTTTTTACCCTTCTAGTGTCATTACTGATATCCCCTTTTTAAAAAAATGCAGTTATCGTCTTTCCTTTTGTTATTAAGGCCCAGATTCTCCAAGCATTGAGTTTCCTAATTCATACTGAAATTCAGAGGAATCAAATTTTGAAGCAATAGTTAAAAGGTTTAAACATATTGAGTATTTGGGCTTATGTGCTCAAACATGAGTATTCCTGATGCAGTCCTATGATGCTGTTCATGCACAATATATACTTAAAATACTAATGTCTTGAAACAGTTCCGGATGAGATGCACATGGAGTCCATTGGTCACTAAAAGAGAATTCAGAATCTGTAATCAGTAATTATATGATTCAGAATCATATAATCTTGATCTATTTGATCAAATTAGATCTATTTGTCAAATGGTGGATTCTTGCTAGTCTTACTGTYTGTTGAATACCATGAGACATTATGTGATTACCTTTCTACCTTTTTCTCAGTGAATGGGTATTTGACTGAGATTTAATTAATTGTCTGCCATTGAGATAACTGGTTAGCAGACTTGGTACTAACAGAGAGTGTAGTTAGGGCATTGATCTGTGACTCTCCAGATGAATTTGAACTTTTTTTTTTCTTTTTTGCATTAAAGAAACTAAAAGGAACCTTTTATTTCTCTTTCTTTCTTTTTCTCTTGTTCTTTCTCCTCCCCTGCAGGWACCATCATATGCAACAGTTCTGATTCCAGAAATTTAAAATAGTATATTAGCTGAGGGTGTTTTCTCCACTGAGATAGTTAACTATTATTTAGAAGCTCAGGTGAAAACTCACATCCTGTATGTATATTCACAGGTATTTAATAGTTATATTTAGCTGATGGGCGGGTGGGGAAAAGAAGCTATGAATATTTCTGTTGGGATACTTTCTATTTTTTTTTTTTTCATTTTCATATAGTATGTAAAATTAATTATTTGGGTCAAATATGCCTCCRTGATATAGTTCTATTTAATTGTTGTCTGATTGAAGGAGTGCTATGCTACAAGTCAGGAGCGTTTATGTTTTGAACTTTTCCTAATGACATGTCCAGACTACGGTTTTTTTTGGCTGGTTGTTTTTCCCTTTTGCAGCATGCAGATCTGAGCTACCTCAAGGAAGAGGTGCTGTGAGAACGCTGTGATAACTGAATGGTCAGTGGGCAGCTTTGATCAAGAAGGTATGGTTAGCTTGATGGTTCCTGTGCAATATCTTTAATCTTGTAATAGAGTCCTACGTAGGTGGTGAGTTCTGCCTCATAAATGCTCTTCAAAAAGTATGTAGAAACCACATTCAACTATTTTATTATCTGGAGCAGCCCCAAATTTGCCCCAGTTAAACAGAAGTTTTTTTTTTTTTTTTTTTGCAACTTAGTGCAACAGTGAAGAAATCGTGGACTGAGGCGTTAAGATGTTTTCCTGCCAATTACCTGTTACGTTACCCGCACTTGGCTGTATTAGCCAAGTGATGTATGAATCAGCTCGCTCTAGGCTTTCCTATTTGGCAAAAGGTTCCTAAATCTTCTTGGTTCACTCTCCTGGTTCAGAYGTGAGAAAATGTGGAGATAATTTAAAGCAAGAGCAAAGCATTGCTGCTACATTCCAGAGATAATCCTTCATGGTTAATAGTGCTTTGGTGCTTCAGTTTATTGAATACCCCTCCCTCTTTTACAGTAGGACTGAAGACATTTAATAGCTACATAAAAACAATACTTCAAAACAAAGCAACAAAAAGCCCCATATGAACAAAAGCAAATCTTTCAATCCAGATCACTTTGGAAGGAAACTAGAACTGAATCCAAATATTGGTCATGTCTTATTTTACTGCARTTTTATGGATTATGGTGAAAGTTTCCATATGCTCAGAAGAAGTAGTGGAAATTAAGGTAAAAAGCCTGTCCAGAGGTATTATGTATTAAGCCAGTCTCTCATCTAGGGAATCTTGAGCCCCAGACTACTGAAGGCTCTGGGAGGGTCTCAGCAATGACAGTGTTGTCCTCATCCTGGTCCGGTGCTCTTCCATAGCCATCTGCTATTAGCTGTCCTCAGAGACAAAATAATGAGTGAAATGAAACTGTGATCCAACTTTGACCTGTTATTCCATTTTTGCATTGGTTATAGCAGAAAAAGGGGGCTAGTGAGCTTCTCTGCAGACACAAAATGCTTAGGCTCCTAACTTGCACGTGGCATTCCTTTCTCCCTTCCCATAACATCTGGATGTCCTACTGTCAGACTGCTGAGTTGTGCCAATATCTTTGGATGTGTTAACTATTATTTGAAACTTGGAGGAATGACTTCCAGCCTTATTTGTTAGTCAAAGAATTAAAAAAAAAATCACTTTGAGTTAAATAAAATTAATGTTTTTATGTTACCTGTGACCACCCATTCAGTTTGTGTAGTTTCCCTCTATTTTAGGGAATTTCAACAATTCCAGTTTATATCATCCGAGGAACTGCAACTCTGTCTGCTAAGCACTCAGTTGACTGAGGCAGGAAATATTCCTGAAGACGGTCAGTTAGAAGGGGAAACTTTACATTAAAGCCCATACCTCACTTAAAAACACACTGGAAAACCATGTTGCTGAGTGATTTATTTGTTTTCTTCCCTGCACAGTCAGCAGGCACAGCATCCTCCCATGCATGGCGAGAGCGGTATAAGTTGAGACAAATTCCCATACTGCAGCGACGAGCCACGTGACGTAGAGCATTTCTTCATCTCCTTGTGTTGAAACAGGCGCAAGGGGATGGTGCTCAGCCTTCCTGCTCCCGAGTTTCACTGACTGGCTCCGCATGACATCAGGATTGCCTTCAGTCAGAAATCTTGAAGTACAGCTTTGCTGGGTGGGTCGCCGAAGAATTTGAAGGAGTTGTGGAGATAGGGCGTGTTTACCTTGACAAAGTAGTGAGTGTAGTAGTGCTGTGCTGCCGAAGTGCTTACGTTCTGTTCGCCTGCAACACCAGAAAGGTACGGGGTTCTTATTCTTTTTTCTTATTTTTCTTTCAATCTGTGGGGTTATGGTTTGAATCGGTACTGTGTGCTCATGTCTATTGTCTGTTTTGTAAGGGGAAGTTGGAGTAACTCTTCTAATATCCTTTGGATATAGGAGTTCAAGCCAGGTAGACATTTGAAACAGGTGCTTGTGAGATTTTATGTGTTACCACTACTTATTCCAACCTGTGAGACTGCTTTCTATTTTACAGAAAGAAATACACGTTACAGTACTTCTTTTTTTACCTCTTCTATCATCATTCTAGAGAGTGTTTCTAAGAGCACTTGATTTTGAATGGGAAGGGAGGAAAATATTAAAAGGAAAAAAGGTTTTAGTTAATAATGTAAATGCATTTTCATTAAAAACAATAATCAGATGTTAAGATGTTATTAAAAACAATAATCTAATGTTTTAGAAAAATGCTTCAAATTTTATCTGTGAAGTTCTATGCAATATCTATTACATGTGAAAGTTGGTTTCAAGCCTATAACACGACTTATCTGCTTCAGATCAGCAGCTACTACTATGAATAATACACTCTAAGCAAGTTGCCACATACACTTCTTTCAAAGTAATGCTGTAACAGTCAAGAAGAGCAACTCTGTGTGTTTTTTAGTCTTATTTTTGTAATATATACCAGCTTTTAGTTAACTTCCTAGCTTGGATCAAGTCTCCAGCAGGGGTGATGCACCTGATGAGTTACCCGGGTCCRCATTAACTGAAGATATTTTTTCTTGCATTTGGTAGGACATGAAGGGGATGCCAAACAGAAGCTGAAATAATGAAACAGCAGTTATAGTGTGGCTCCTCCTCRGGTTGGCTGTGTGGGTGAAAGACGTGTGAGTAGGTTATTTGCAAGGATAACCAGCAGGAGGAGAAATAGACACTGTGATGCACAAGAGACAGCCCAGCTTGTTTGGGGTGGAGGTGACATCATTAAAGGCAATTACTAGTTGGGGCTGCTGCAGGTACATGATAGCTGGAGCCCACTGTCTGCCGGACCCGGTCCAGGAGGAAGGAAACAAGACAGTTTGCAGAGTGCAGCTGCACCACCTTGCCCCTTTGCCTATCTCCCGAGGGCTGATTTAAACCTCTGAGTCACGCAAGGGGCAGGTGAAGCAGTCAGCATCTTTGCTTTGYAAAAGCAATGCCCCCTGAGTAGAGAGGGTATTGAAAACTTCACCCAGAAAATGAACTCTTTCACATTCTTTCAAACATTTTTCTCCTACCCCTTCAGAACAGGGAAAAACATAATAAAACTCACTTGTCACCTTAATTGAGGGTTACTGCAAAGTGCCAGTTTACCATGCTGCTGTACAGAAACCGAGTTACAAGGTAATATGATAGAATAGTAAAAAAGGTAAAATATTCTAATTGCCTTATAACCAAACATTTAAGTTTTACAGTTGAGGTGTTGCTGAGTAAATATAAAGCTAAAGGTCCCAGACCAATCTTAATTTAACTCTCTTTTATGGGTAGAGTGGCTCAGAGTGTTCTACCATAAGAACCCTTAAGTGGGGCAGCTCTTTTATTCTGCAGTACTGCTCTGTGTGTGAGTGGACTTGGTTAGATATTTTTCATGCTGATTTAACTTTYTGAATTTGAACTTGTGAATTTGTTGAATTCGCAGTTGAATAAAMAGGATGAGAAAAGATGGACAAGATGCAGAATGATTCTAGGATCAGCCCAGTATTCTTCATTTCAGTTCTTTCATTTCATTCAACTATTCAATGATATATACTGGTCAACCAAGAAACACACTTCAGACAAACTTTAAAAAAAAAACGCTGTGTCAAGAAGCAGAAATCAGCAACATCTCCAAGAGGCAGATAATAAGAGGTAACAATTAATGCTTGTAACAGGCAGGTACCCAGAGCAAACAAGTGATGTCTGAGAGGATTTTGGATAGGAGATGGAAGAAGAGAATGGAGCTCTTTGAAATTTGTTAAAACCCACTTTTCTGCAGTTTTTAAAATTATTTTATTTTATTTTATTTTTTTAAAGTGCCTCTTAGCTAGTAGGAAAAAGTTGCATACCTGTTACCAGTAAGTGTATGGTCCATATTTTTTTCCACCTAATGCATGGGATTCTTTAAGCACTGTGCTATCTAGGATTCATGCAATTGTTGCTTACTCTTAAACAAAAATAAAACCTGATAAGGTGCATCACAGCCTTATTAGCTCYTTCAAACCACTTTGGTTTAATCTTGATGACTAACATCCTGAAACAGCTTTCCTATCTGAAAGTCTTGATTTTTCCCAGCGGTTACTGCACCAGCTTTACTAGTTCTAGCACATGATAASAGAAATAGGAGAGAGATTTTATGCTTTTTGCTGATTTTATTCTTTTCCTGCTGCAGTTCCAGTATCACACCCAGTAGACTGTCTAATAAGATGCTCAGATAAATGAAGACTCTTCACTTGCATGTCTGTGTTAAGGATCTACCTGGTTTTCCAGTCTGCTCAACAAATAGGAAAGGAAGTCCTTGCAACTCATCCTTCAGATCTGCATGTAGCCTTCTCTTAGTTCTTGTCTTGCAATTTAGGTTTTTGCAAGCAAAATTATGAGTTCTTGGAATTTTTACACAGGAGCAAAATCAAGATTTTTTTCTCTGTATTTTTTTTAATTCATTCCCCAGACTGTAGTAGCCAGAAATTCTGCTTCCAAGCAGCTTCTCACTTTGCTTTTCAAAATACAGCCGCTTAGATTATGTCAAACAAAAAATAGTTCTTCTTTGCTGAACAGCATTAGAACTTCCCTTTATTATTTATTTTTAAACTGAATATTCAGGATCCAAGGAACAGTTTTAAAATAGACTTTACTTTGGGACTTCCCAATTATGTAGGCTTTAATTTTAATTATAGAGGGTGCAATTCCTGAACTAATCATTCCTGATTTTCCTGTTTCACATTAGCCAATTAAAACTAGATTAGACAGGTTGCAGGAGAGATCCTTCCTGAGCAAGGAGGTAATTAGTTTTCTTTATCTGGAGTGTTCATTTTTTGGTGCATGGGGGTTCTATTTTTCTGAAAACATCTTGATTATTTTTCATTTGGCTTTTGCGTCACTGTAGAGCAATGGCAAAGCTCCTGGTTTTGTGCATGCAAAGAGCATGGCCAGTGTTTGTGTGAGGACGTGAAGCTGGGGAGAACCCACACGGGGTTCAGCAGAACCCGGTCTCTCTGCTGCTCCGTGAGCCTGGCACATGTAGCAGCTCCCAGAGCTCTATCAGCTCTGAGGAGGACGCTCCGAGCAGGGCACCGGGAGCAACAGGGAGAGCACCGGGAGCAATAGGGAGCTCATGCCGAGCAGCCTTTCAGGTTCCTTGYCGGAGCCGCTCGGGTTGCTGGAAGCCAACATACGCGGGGACGGCTGCCATGGATGGGAGGCCAACAAAAGCGGTCGCCCTTTAGCATCCACAGCACAATCCCAGTGCTGGAACCCCCTAGCTGAGGTTACCCCGGCTGTGTTGTAATGAGCTCCTGGCTAAACCTGAGCTCRTTTCACACTGCTGGCGCTCTGAGCCTGAGTGCTGCAGTGCTGGCACTTGCTTTTCAGGGGCGAAAGTTGCTCGGCAACTTAATGAGCCTRTTGCAAAAGCACTTCCCGTAAGTGAGTAATAAGAAACTGGTTCTGCTATTTCCCAAGATTTCAGGCACTGTCTGAGGAAAGGCYGGTCTGCGCCGTGTGCCTGCAGCCCCTCATCCTGGGTGGCAGAAGGGACAGCTGAAGACTCAGTCCTGCATCAAGAGCAGCTTTGGTGGCTGCCCTTCCTGTCTCCCTCGCGCTATGGGAATTGTAAGATAATACAGCCAAGCTGTGCTGCAGATGTGCTGGTCCTCCTAACCTGTGAGCATTTAATAAGCTGCCAAGTATCTTGGGTTAAAAGCAAAATTAAATAGTGCAGACAAGCGTAATTTAAAATACATTCAAGTGCATGAGAGAGATTTAGACAGAATGTGCCAGAAGTGTATGCCACAGAGTTGAAAGTAAGCCTTTTTTTTCTTCAGAAAATGTACTGTGCAAGCAATAAAGGGGAAGTTCTGTCTCCTATGGCACTGGCAAGGTGCCTTTAACCCGGTGTGCTCTGGGGGAAGAGATGGCTCTGCAGCCGCACGGCCTCTGCCCACGGCATCAGCGAGGATGGTGCCTGGGGTTGCAATTTGCAGGCAGCCGGTGGTGGGAGGACAGAGCCCTCCGCTCGTCCCCGGTCACTGGGTCCGTCTCCGATGGCCGCACCGTGATCCGCAGAAGCAGCCATGGGATTTCCAAGGGATTTCCAAGCTTCCTAAACGCCCCTTTTCCCCCCTCTCCTTTCGTAACTCACGGCCATTGTGTTAGGGCTAAGAAGATTCAAAGCAAATAATTTAAACTGAAGCAATTAAGTGCTAATGTGGAAAAGCAGCTAATGAGGATTAGCAGCTGGCGCAGTGGTTGCCTTAGCCGTGATGAACAAGCCATAGGGCTGCGTTATTTGTTTCGGTGATGCCCAGGGAGCTTTGAAACAACTTGTTGGGCYGTGGGGATGGGATAATAGATGGGATCATCCTTGAAAGGATTGCTTAATTCCGATATCAATTTTAATCAAAGTTTCTAGAGAGTAGCAGGTGTGTAGCTGTGGAGAAGGAGGTAATAAATAGAGCTTAGTATGGAGCCCAGTTGCTTCTRACGACACTTTCTGCGACGGAGACTTTTGGCAGGAGTCATTTTCCTTTTGATATGGGAATAATGTATGCAGTGTRTTTATATGTGTATATATGTGTGTATGTCCTCCAAGAGGATTTTCTTAGTGAGCTGGAAAGGCCATAGCTGTAGCCTAAGAGCTGAAGATTCCTGCTTGTGTATGCTGTGTACTATGGAATAGTATTTGTGGGGTTTGAGGAGTCCTTGTGATTGATCCATGGTTTATTGAAATAGTCCTTATGATTTGAGGAGTCTGTRTTTGATCACACGGCCACAGCCGTGGAGTGCTTAGGATCTAGAGGATAGATCCTGGGTATGTTTGGAGGGATCCCACCACCTTCCAGGTGCTCCAGGAACGTCCCCTAGAGACCTGCTGAGCTGAAAGGAGACAGGGGAACAGCCCCAGTGCCAAAGAGCCCTGTTGATGTGAGCTCCAGGACCGCCGAGGGGAAGTGTCTGCAATRGAAACACGGGAAGGGCGAAGGGTACATCCGCTGCAAGGGAGATGGAGTGTAAGAACAGGCTGCAGGCGGATATTGTGGGATTTCATTCATCAGCTGTTTCCTAGGAATAACTTGGAGAGCATCCATCAGGGATGGCCTGATCCCTTGGGCCAGGCAAGACCCAATAGAAAAGCAGGGGCCTGACCAAGAGGCACTTCCAGGGTGCCCCACATTCCATATCTGCGCTGGGTGGCTGCTGAGAATGGATTTCCGCTGAAATCCATGTGTTCTGGATCAGATCCCAAGGCCCAATATTCCTTTCAGTTTTAAGATTAGGCATGTGCTTACGTGCTTTGCTTAACAGAGATAGGTCAAGGAATTCCTCAATAGCCTAGCAGGGTAGTGAGTGCTAATAACGCTACAGTAGGCATTCATGCTCCGAGGGAAGAGCTGAATTGGTGGGATCCGGAGGATTTATATTAATATTTGCACTACTGGCTGTTGCCAGTGTTGGAGTATGTGATGTGCGTGTTTAATCACAACCCATCCCTCCCTCGGCCGACTGCTACAGCTTTTTGCACTGTGTTGCCTGGCCTGTTTCTATTCCAGTTGTGATTTGTGATGGTTTGCCGTGCACAGTTTGGTTTATGTATATGTGTGTATATACACACACACACAAGCACACCCATAGATTTATTTATATATATATATATATTTCTATTTATATATGTGTTACCCACACACTTAAATATATATACACTATATATATATTTTATATATATATAAATAAAAAGAAGCACTGCTGTGTAATAAGTCTCTCCTCCTGGTCTTCTAAGGCAATACTCGTGCAAGTCTTTATGTCTGACCTAAAATGTCATGTTTCAAAGCCCTGCTTCATTATCATGGCGCCTGCCAGCTGTAGTTAAGGGCTGTTAGCAGCCCCATTATAAATCCTGACTTCCAGGAGTTTATAATTCAGCAGTAAAAAAATTGCTCTAGGCCAAAACTTGGCATAAAAAGTCTCAGTGAARGAACAATTGTGATTTCTCCTCCTTTATTTTTGCTTATAAACACAAAATCCATTCAGTTGGATTTATTGTCCCCTTTCAGCATTTAAAAAAATTAAGTGGCTGAGTTTATTAATATCTCAATGCTGGCTACTGTGTACGGCCAGTAAATTGATTTAAAGTGTTTGTTAAGGAAGCTCTGCTTGATGGATATAAAAACACCGTTTGACAAACCTGGTCCTCAATGGAAGTGACTGCTGGTAGCTAGTGGTTAAATGCAGGACACTTGGTGGAAATTCTCCCAGCTTAACTGTTTTCTCATAGAAAAATAGGGTTTGGTGAAATCGGTTTTTTCCTTGTAGGTTTTATGCTTAATAGGAAATTGGCTAAGGAAAAAAAGGTGATTTCTTATTTCTGAAAAAAAAATGTTATTTCAGCCTTATGGAATTTATTATACTGACTTATATTTTTATTTTATTTTAAAATATTTTACGGAGTATATAAAATATTTGTTCTGTAAAGTCTTTACAACTAAATGAGAGATAGGAGAAAGCTTCTAGTACATCATATAAAATGTAAAAATTGAAAATGAATGTTTTCAATTGTAAAAATGTAAAAATTGAGAATGAAATGTTTTGCTGTAAGTACAGTAATTTTTTTCCCCTCCAAGAACTGATTTCAGACACTTTATTCTGGCCACTTTATTAGGCCTTGGCCACACTGAAGTGTAACACTCAAGTCACAGTAGTTCTTGGACATCCCCATATAAGTTCAGTGTGCGCTGTAATGTTTATACTCTTGTGCACAGAGCTGCTTGCAAAATGAGGACGGAGGTATCGCTGCCAGCAGATCAAGCAGCAGCAACTCGGCAGCAAAATACGTCTGCGTTATCCCAGGCCTGAGCGAGGGGTCCTCTCATCCTTTTCCATCCTCTCGCCCTGGTACCTATGGAGAAGTCGGAGGAGATGAAGTCACTTGATTATCTTCTTTTCAACCGAATTAAGTGCTCTCCGTTTGAGCAGTTTCTAACCAGGGTGAAGGACTGTATGCAGCCTGGGGGCTTTTGGCCAGCCCTGTCTCCCGCTAGTGTTTTTCCTGAGCTGGGAGATGAGGCTGGGAAGTGCCAGGAGGAGGAAGCTCTGGTGACCATAGTCCTTGAGCAAGGGACCTGTTCCGCATACCTTGTGTGGGAAAGGACTTCAGGCAACATGAATGGACAATGCTGTGGATTTCAAAGCTCTGCATCAGTTTCTACCAGCACAAGATTTAGCTCTATGATTTTCTCTTTCCCTGGATTGTAGTCCTGCCTGCACCCTCGATAGGGGAGGTTTCCTACCGTTCTGGAGCCAACCAACACAACTCTGCTCTTCCATGGATTCCTTCTGGGTGGCCCGTGTTGCTCATTCCTTGTTCCTGAGCTATGTGGCCAGGTCTGCTCGGCTTCAGGTGGCCTAATTCTGGAGACACATGGACATCCCTCCTAAACTGCATCATCTGATAGGATGGCACTGCCCCTGTCAGGCTTGTGATGCCAACACCACCCGTGCATGCCTGCAGAGCCTATCTCTGGGGACCAAAGCCTTAAAATTTTATAATTTGCTGGTACCTTATGTGTAGGAAATGTCTTGTCAGCTCTGAACCACTGTTATACACAACAAAATTCAGTGTATTTTAGTGCATGCATTTTCTTTTTAATATGACAGGAATAATTTTCAATTATTTTTCTATTTGYTTAGCATGGCACACATATTCAAGACACTCAACAGCTGGTTCTGGTGGGAGAATATCTGGATGCCAGTCAATGTCTCGTGGGCACATTTTGTAGACCGTGAGGGCCTTGTCTTTCCAAAACCACATCAATTATATGCCACGATACCGTATGCTTTTGTGATGCTGATTATTCGATTCCTCAGTGAAAGGTAAGGAAGATGCATGCTATTTTATGCTACTGTTAATTCTCATTAATGCTAAAATATTTGCATATCAAAGTATCTTTAAATCAGTAGTCAGATGATGCTTTCATAAAGAAGGATTAGCTGGTAGTTAGCTAAAAAGATCTAGTACTGATAACATGGTGGGTGGAAAAATTAGGAAGTGTTTTCGTTATTAGGATCATGTGGCTGTGGGCCAGTCTGTGAAGCAAACATTTCCATCGAGGCTTTTCTGGATCAACATTTTGACACTTCTATTTCTCTATTTTTATCCGTTTCTTCCCAAAACACCCGGTTTTCCTTTTGCTTTGCTCTGTTGGTGAGAGGGCAGAGTTATTTATCTTCCAAGCCAAACTGCTTCTTTCCACAGATGCTCTTCCAGAACCCTGGTGTCAGGCTGATAAATCCCAGGTGTGTGACTGTCACAAATCGCAGCACGCTGAAGGGATCTCAAAACTTCATGTGAATGTTTTAGGCAGCTCTCGTGGTGACAATTCCTTTTCTCTCAGTTTGGCACGGAAAGATGGATTGCTTCGTTTCCGCAGCTGGAGTCTTGTGGGACAGGCAGAGGTTGGCTCCGCAGAAGAAAGCTGTGCACACATGAAGCTTTTCAGTGCTTTGACTTATTCATTTGTTTATTATTGCTTGAGTGGTTTTATTTTCTGCTCTACAGAATGTGATTAGTGTGTTTTGATATTTATTTCAGGGTAGAATGGGGAAATTTGGAATGTTTGCAGTTAGACGCAGCCAAGACGGAACCAGATAGGATCATTTGTGTTAGAGATCAAAAGCTGCCTGGATCGTGTGCTCACAGCCACTCAGTGTGCTTCCCAAATAACTGCCTGTCCAACTGTGTCCTGCACTGCTGTTGGAGATAGCTGCTGTGTGTGATTAGCCCATTATCAAGGAAAGTGAAGGAGGAAAATGAAAGCACRTGAGGAAAAGAAGGGAAGGAGGAAAAGCAACCACTGCTCCGAGTAATGAGGAATCAATTGTGGATATTGGCAGGATGGAGGGGGCTTCTTCAGGAAAGCCGGTCCAAGAGGAAGAGCAGCAGTTGGGCCGCTCTGCAGCACTTGGAGGCAGAAGGTGGAGGGAGATGAGAGCCCTGGAGGAGGCTGGAGGCTGCAGCAGGACCTGGTTTTCCTGGCAGCACCTGCCCCGTGCAGCAGTGGTGACTCTGCCTCKAGGACGTGGTGCCTGGCACCCGTCCCGCATCCCACGGGCAGAGAGCAGCTCTTCTTGGGTCACTCCCCTTTAGCTATTGCCTAGGTACGATCTGCCTCTGAGAACTGCAAGGGCACAAGGAAATGGGCTTTATTCTTGTGGTTCACAGCATTTTAGGACACACATTTAAGTGCTTGAGTTTGCTTTCTTGCAAAACTGCTAATATGCTGTGGTTCCTGGTGGTGACTAGCTAGAGGACAGTGGCTTTCTGTCACAGTGCACAATTCTATATATTGTAAGGCAGATAGAAATGTTTCAGATTTATTTTCTTCATCTCTTGGCATGAAAAGAGTTAAGATCTTATAACTGTGATGCATTTTAAAAATTTTCCTCCTATGTCTTTTCAGATTTATTGCCATACCTCTAGCAAAAGCCTTAGGTATAAAGAACGTAAGACGTGTGAAGCCACAGCCTAATCCTGTTTTAGAGAGTTATTTCCGGGAGTGCACAAAACATCCATCCCAAGTAAGGATTTTCATTCTTTTAAAGTAGTTCTGGGTTTGGAAAATCCCCCATCTTACTGTTTCAATCAGCTATCAGCAACAACATCATGGGATGAGTTCCAGCTGATTGACAGATAACCTAATTTCTTTGGGTTTATGTTGCCGTCCTGCTGACAGGGTATGTGGCATCCAAAATAGAAAATATATATTTTTAAGATGTTTAATTTTCTGGCATGCTGTTCTAGGTTATACTGTTAATATTATTTCCAATGAAAATCAGTGCTCCATCTATAACTCACTCTGCCTGGGGAAAACATCAGCTGACATCTGTTGTTGGAAAGTGATACCATATTTATTGCGAGCAATAATATTGGCACACTGGAATGGAGGCCTTCTGATCTGTTATGTTGCTGTTATACTTAAGCCTGGCTTATATGAGAAAGCAAAGCAAACAATCTTTCCATTACCTTGCTGTTGATCTTTAAATTTGAACAACAACAAAAAAGAACAACGTTTACCGTCTAAGAAAATGAAGCAACCTGATTGTTGATGGGAAACAGATACTGTGATGTGAACGCACTCTCAAAAAATTCTCCTAAGTAACTAAAAATACCAAGCAATTACAGCATTCCTATACAGTCTTGSGGAAGAAATATGTGTTTTCTAATAGTGAGGGTTATTGACTTTTGCCTGGGACTTCTGCTCTCTGTCTCTCCCGTGGACATGCTCCTCCTGCGACTTTGGCCTGACATGGTCRGGAGGAGATGGACTCGTGTCCCTGCATGAGCTCCTCTCTGCYGGGCAAAGGTCTCGTGCTGTTTTGTGTCCCGCTTCTGTGTGACAGCAATGGGGTGATGCCCGGTGGAAGTGCAGCAGGCACTTCCCCTATCACACAGAACCTCCTGCCTTCTAAGCTAGTGTCTCACCTGCAAGACTCATTTAAATATAACTTAATAATTAATTTACRTTAGGTAAGACATTACACAATACCGATGTGTAGTACGAGGCACTTCACAAAATCCTCTTCAGCTAAATCTCTTGATTAGCAGTAGAAGTTGCATCCTTGAAATGATCAGAGGTCACTGGAAAGAAAATAGCAGTCTTCAGACCTGTACATTTCATGCCTGCTCTATTTATCAGAACTAATTTGTGCCATGAAAATCCATAACTTCTGTGAATGTCATTTGAAAACTAAAGCAGGAAGCCAGCAAGTAAACCCTCACTGAGAGTTAATGTTAGTAATATTTTAAGATGCAGCCCTCATAACAGTGTGAAGCCAATCTATGACATAAAAAATAAATGAAGGTGAGGTTTGGGTGGATKCTGTTGCTAACATTATTCCTTTTTTAAATTTTTTTCAGTCAGAGATTCAAGGTCTGGCTAAGAAGTGTAACTGTACGGTCCATTTTGTGGAAAAGTGGTTTAGGAGACGGCGAAACCTCGAGATCCCAACGGTGCTTCGGAAATTCCGGGAGGCTTTGTAAGAGGAGGCGGCTTCTTTCTTGTTTGTTGTGGGTTTGTTAGTTTTGAGGAAAAAAAAAAAAAAAAAGATTAAGGTCCTTGAGTGCTTGACATAAGCTGGGGCTCAATTCCACAAAGCTGAGTCTATCCACCTGGGATTTTCATTTTGTGCATGCACAAGCTTTTTGAAATGATCTCCTAATGTTTCATTAAATACAGTGACTTCAAGTATTAGGTTAACAGTTTCTCCTCTTTCTTAAAGATGGAAAAAAACCTCTCCAGAATGCTTTACTGTTTTCTTCACTGTGCCATAGTGGATTTATTCATAGGATCGTGCCGTGCAGCACTTAATGAAAATATGCAGAGCATAGGAAAACACATGCCAAGAACTGTAGGGGAAGAAAAATGCTTATTCACCCTTGTTCAATTATGTATCCATGCTGTCATCTTGGGCTGCTCTTGTGTATGTGGGAGTTGGCTCGAGCAGAAACCAAGGCATCCCAACTGGCTGGTCGAGGGCCCAGCCTGGGCACTGGGAAGCCATATGGAACATATACTCCAACATGCTAATGTGAAAAGGTCATTGATTATAATGCATATTAGAAATGTTTCAAAATTTCTTGCATATGATCAAAAACCAGAAAAAAAAATCAAGAATCTGATTTTTTATTTTTTATTTTATTTATTWTTTTTTTTTTTACTGTTTAACTATTCCAACATTATCCAAAACCTTGTACAAACCCCAATTCTTAACTGGGCAGGATTTTACGGATAAGAACTTTTAACCTAACACTTTGCAATGTCCTGGGTATTTGAGTTTGGCTAATATAACTGTATTGGCAAAAATTCACCTGGTTATAACATTTTACCTCTTTTAGTGTGGGTTATTTAAAGCCCAGGAATAAGGGTTAGAAGTAGAGCCACAAAGCTCCAAGCTGAGAACTTCATCAAGGTTATTCTCAGCGTGAATCAATACAGAATGATTTTGTGGTGTCCTCTGTTGGGCATAAATCCAGTTGGTAACTGAAGCTGTGACACTCTGGAGCCTAGGCGAGTTGAGTGAACCATGTTGGCAAACTGACATCCATGGAGGGTGGTTATTGTTTTTTGGATCTGTTAGCTTTGTTTTGCAAGCAGCATTAAGATTCCCTGCTACCTATACAGGACCTGCCAGCCATGGATGCATGGCTTCAGCCATACCTAGCAAAGACTGAGATTAAAACTTGCTTGGCAGCCTGGGTGAGAATGAAGCCAACAGGTTTCTCTTGTGCAATTTGTGAACCTTGCTCTGCTCTTTGTCAGGGAGCTTAATTGGATATAATTCTCAAGGCAACAAATGAGGGACAGAATTATTCCACTTTAATAGTCAATGTTATGAGCAGTATGACATTTTGAAAGCCTGGAATCTCCAATATCACTTTTCTGAATCACAAGGAAAAGCTGATGAGCCAGATCTAAAGCATACTTAAGCTATTACTGCTCTCAGTTAAGCAACACTGGGGTTTGGAAAGTCATTTGCATGAAACCTTCCCTGCCTCAGAAGACTTACCAGCCATTAACTTCATCCACTGGATGCTTTTGGTTAGACTCGATTCATCAGAAAAGGTTCCTGAAACTAAATTACAAGAATCCTTCTACATAAATTGTTCCGCACTCTCCATAGTGGACACATTTTGAGATTAAAAGCCATTTGTAAGGTAAAATTTGGTGAATTTGGATGAACTTCACTTTGATTTTGTTCACCACGTTCATAAAGAAGCTCGGTTAAATGCAAAATGAGATGGTGCTGTGGCAGACTTGCATGGGTAATGGATTCGTCTGAAGCAAATGAAGCACCAGGTATTTAGCACTAAGCTCAGTCAATATTATCTTTGTGGGGCTGGGGACTAATGGTTCAGCCTCGTAAGGTGCTCTGTGCTTTGCATCTCCTCTGGAAACTGTAAGCAACTGCCTAACACTGGACTCGGGATTAGTCCCATTATATCCCCTGGAGTGCTTGGACCTGCCTTGCCCCACATTTGAGGCCACATGAGGCCGAACCAGCCCCGTGCAGCGGCCGTCCCGTGGCTGTGCCATTATTTCCTTGTGTCCCTGGTGAACCCTGAGCCAGGCGCCACTTGCTGGTTCCACCTTCCCCTTCCATTTGCTCTGCTAATTTTTGCTATGCACCTTTACATTTTTCTATCTGCATGGAGGAGTTAGGAAGGATTGTTTTCATGTGATCCGATGAAAGATACCTCAAGGTATAATGATTGTTTATTACTGTTTTATCTAGTGGCAATTTAATAATTTTCCTGGTTYCCACCGCAGGCATAAAACGCATTTCCTTGTCTAGCCTCTGCCCTTCCATGGCCTCATTCTGTGTTTGTTTTCCCGTGTTTGTTGTTCCTTTAAAATGCAAGCTGCCTCTTTGCACATCCCTTCCTGCCTGCAGGGCTCGGGAAGGTGGAGCTGCCCTTGCCAGACAGACTCTCATCTTCCCCTCTCAAATGGCACTTCATTAACGTTTGCCAAAGACCATAATCATCATTTTTATGCATCTCCCAGCCCATTAGTACTAGCTAAAGTGGTGTCCTTGCAAAGACTTGCTCTCCCCCTTTTTAACAAATTGGTTTTCCCGGAGGCGCTTCCCTGCGGTTTGGAACCTCTCCTCCTCCGAGACCATCCCAGCAGCTCCAGGGTCGCGCAGTCCTTCCACCATCAGCACATGCAGTTGGGCAGCGTTTTCCTCCTGATCCTGGAGAGCTTCCCTGGGAAAGGCTGGGCTCGAGGGGAGGGCTGAAAAGACAGGAGTCTTCCTCACCTGTGGAGGAAGGAGTGGGAAGGCCCGGCCGTCCCAGCCGCACCCAGGCCCAGGGACAGATCCTCCCACGCTGGCTCCTGCGTCCTCGCAATGCTGATTGCCACCTTCAAATCACAGCATCCCCTGACACAGATAAGCAACATCMTCATTTTGGTTTCTAAGATACACAGGAAATCCCTTTTTTTCTTTTATTCCCCCTTTTTCCCTTTACCAGATCAATGATGAAAACCTGAAAGTTTTATCCACCTTGAAGGATATCTATTTAAACTACAAAAAGCTAAGATCAGGCTTACCCAAATGCTGCCCAGCCTGGTCAAATGTTGAGGTTTACAGCTAATCCCAGCCTCTATTGCAATACGCAAACTCAGCCCGTTGTTGTTACGAAAGTTTCAGAGGGCTCCCCTGTTTTTAACAACCAGTGTTAAGACAGAGCAGAAGAAATTAGCTTGGCAATTAAAGCAAATCGATGCCAGTGCTTGCAGTGCTCATCAGAGGTGGTTGGATTGGAAAGCAGGATCCGCCTGGCTGGCAGGTCGTCTGGACATGGGGAACTGGGAGGTGGTCTGGAATGGTTGGAAAAGATGGATGCAGCAGGGAAGGTTGGTGCTGTCAAACACTGATAATTCCCTGAACACCAGATTTACATTTGCTATGGCTGTTCTCTGGCTCAGCTCATTTCTGGCTTAAAGTTTACTGGAAAAAAATGCAACCAAGATATCCATACTGTAATAATGTAGAATTATATACTTTTTTGGCAATTAGTCAAAATATAAGTATCTGGATATTAATAATAAAGTTAAAAGATAGCTACTCTAATGCAGGGTGTGAGAACACGTTAATGTGATATACAGTGATTTGCTAAAGTTGTGACTCAGGGTGATGCTTATAAAGAAGAAATAAYGTTTTGTTCCTATTTTCTTTTTTAATTTTGCAGCTGGCGATTTTCGTTTTATCTTGCATCATCCATTGCTGGATTGATATTTCTATATGATGTAAGTTAATTTTGTAAAGACTTGACATACTTATATTTTTAATACAGGGAGGACCTATTTCTAGCATTTTTTCAGGTCCATTGGAAGACTTGGTGGCTTCAGTGGCTCTTTGGGTTCCAATCTCCTCCAAGTGCCAGTCTAGGTGATAGGCTGCCATGTGCATTTAGGTTTTGCTTGATTTTTTAAAAATTTCCTCTTAAACTTCTGTGATAAAAATAATTTGTGAGTAACCAGCAATTTTAAAGGAAGGCTGTAGGAAGTTGCACAGACAGTTTTACAACGTGCCTTGTTAACACCTACGTGCTGCACTGCGAAGGGGGGCTGTGGGTTTTTGTTATTTTATTATTTTCATGAGGCTTTTCTGGCAGCTCTTTTTGGGGTCCCAGCAACACTGTGTCTTGCACCTCCCTCTTGAGGAGCTTCTCCCAAGCTGTGACTCAGCTCCCTGTGTCCCTCGGGGCTCCCGGGCGGCTCTGAGCCCGTCCGCGTTCGCCGGGCTCCTCTCCGAGCGCCGCTTATCCGGGCCAGCGGTGTGCAGGGCTGGGAAACACRGCGAAATCTCATTGCTGTGGCAACAGATCTGCACTGATTACAGTAATAAGACACACACCCACTGTTTTGGGATGATGAAATGATGAAGTGGAACACTTCAGGTGTCCTGAAAAGAAGCCAAAAAGCTGGGACCGATATAACGAATCCAAGTTGTAAGATGCCCATAGAAATCGGTGGAGAAAAAAGTTATTGARAATATAATGTTTCAGCCTGCTTCAGTTAGCAAATTTTCAAGTACTGAGGATTCTGAGTTAGGATGACTTGTTGTGTTGTAGCTGACCAGTGTCTSACTCGTCTCTCTTCCCCCAGAAACCTTGGTTTTATGACATATGGCAGACGTGGGTTGGCTATCCCTTTCAGGTGAGCTTTCTGGCCTGGGGCCCTTGGCCTCCAGGCTTTCCTGGTCTTCCCTAGATGAAAGGGCTGATCCGAGGGGTGCTTCCCCTTGCAGCGGGTGCCGCTTAGGAGGTGCAGTGCCAAAGCCAGTGCCGGCCTTGGTGCCTCCTGCCGACTGCTGCAGGACATTGCCACCACCCTGCTCCCCTGCAGCTCAGGGCTCCAGGCAGCTGCCATCAGCACCCATCCATAGCACTTGCTRTGTGTATTACATATTTCAGTGCAAAAACCCTCCAAACAAACTGCCTGCTTGTCCCCAGGCCCACATTTTGTGTCCCCTTGCTTCCCTGTGCGCTTATCCGTCTGCGTCCCATCACACCACCTTCCCTTACTCCTTTCCTAGGCAGGGGCCAAAAGAAAAAAGAAATCTTRCCTTCCAGCTTTTTCTCTCCCAGCTTCTCTAACTTATGGGACCTGATAACTAGACCTGCCCCTTGCCTCCTTGACACACTATAGAAGCAGTTGAGCAGCCCAGGTCATGTTAATGCAGCCTCCAGCCCTCTTATTCCCCCAGCAGATGCTTAGGATTTTAATGTAAGTAGCAATATCCTAATAATGAAGTGTGCAAATGATTAAAATATTAATTGTTCATTGAAATRAAGGGCTTTGTTTATTTGAAATTGTTTGTAATTAAAAGCAGGAGCACCGTGCGTGCAGCTCACTGAAAAAAGGCATGTGAAATTTGGAGGTGGGGGAGGAACTGCAGAAACTGAGAGTTTGGTCTGAGTAAAGGTTGAAATATTTGGCTCTCAGAACATCCTCCTTAATGAAGCCCAGAACATGGATTTAGTTAGTTTAATTGAGACTCAGAAGAGGAACAGAGAGAGGAAAAAAAAGAGAGAGAGAGAGAGAGAGAGAGAAGGAAAAAATAAGTAGTTTCATTTGGCATTCACCTTGTGCTGTTCTCTGTCCATGTTTTTCTTCTTTGCAGACCCTGCTACCATCCCAGTACTGGTACTACATGGCTGAGATTAGTTTCTACTGGTCTCTCTTATTCACTCTTGGGATTGACAACAAAAGGAAGGCAAGTGGGCATGCTCGCTAGTGGCTAGAATCTCTATTTCTAAGGGAAAAAAATACATATAACAACTCCTGTCCTGATGCTGGATTTGGTGGGGCCACATGAGGGCAGCATCAGCCCGCGCTGGCACTGCCGCACACATCTGTGCACCCCTGGCTGCCCGGCCWCCTTCCCGGGGCTGAGCAGGACAAGCCTTGCTGGTCACTGCACCCCGGGGACGCCCTCAGGGACTGTCCTGGCTTCGTTTTACTTCTGTCCTTCTCTTCTTCACAGGATTTTCTGGCTCACGTCATTCACCACTTGGCAGCCATCGGGTTGATGAGTTGCTCCTGGTGTGGCAATTACGTGCGTATTGGGACACTCGTGATTTTTTTGCACGACACTGCAGATTTCTGGCTCGAGGTAACGCTGCCCCTCATCTTTTTTTTCCTTCAATATTATTTATTTATTCTTTACTGCCCAGGTTACACTTAGTGTTGAGTTTCTTTGCCATCAGTCCCATAAGTTCCCTCCCTGATCCCATGGAGATGAAGCTTCACGTAGTCATGAATTGTAAGATAACAAAGAGCATCTAGATAACTTGGACAGATATGGCATTGTAGAATTGGTCATTAAAAAAAAAAAAAAAAAAAGGAACTAACAGAAGTCCTCTAATGCAAACTGGGGACTAGAAATACTTCTGCCTCTCTGGATTATCTGTGTTTCACTGATAAAATTAGCCTGAGTTGGCCAGCCTGTCAACAGCTTGTCATGATACCAATTCTCAAGGAAATTCAGCAACTAAAAGCTTGGCTGCTTCCTCAAACTGTCCTMATTTTGTCAGCATTCGCACCCTGTGTTGGTCCGAGGGTATGGCTAYATCACATAGTGCTGTCTGGAGACACTCAAACTGTTTCTGAATGAGGTACCTCAGGTACTGTCARAAGAAAAGTTTCTCCTGTCCTCTCTATCTCTACGTTAAATATCAGTTAAGAAATGCCTTAAGACGAGAAAACGATCTTATTCTTTGGACAGATTCACCCTTGAGAAAGCCGCCTTATCYCGTGTTGCCCAGGGTGATTCCTAAAAGTAATGAGGCTCTTTCCCAGTGAGATGGAGGCCAGGGCAGGGGCCTCCAGCATCCAGGAGGAGGAGGCAGTGGAGCTGTGAGCACATCCAGGTGCAACGGGCCACGGCAGCTCCGGGCTGCTGGATGGGGCTGGGAGCCAATTCCCAACGTGCTACCAGATAGAGGGATGGACCTCTGTCTCCAAGAGCACTTTGTGTTTCCATAGCACTCTGGTGTTCTGCTCAGAGAGCTCTTCTCGAGGTCTTTSATACAGCCTTTCCGTATAAGATGAAAGGAGAAATATAAACAAGGAATCTATTTTGATGCTGCTTTATTAGGTATGAGTAAATTGATTGCTCTACATGCCAAACAGGGAGGACATTTTCTTCCTGCTTAGGTGGAAGATGACTTCTTGTTTATGAAAATACTAGAAAGGGACTTATTTCACAAAATATTTGTAATAACGTTTGATTGTTTGTATTGAATACAGGCAGCCAAAATGCTTAATTATGCTCACTGGGAGAAAACCTGCAATACGCTCTTTGTCATCTTTGCTATCACGTTCTTCATCACAAGAATCATCCTGTTCCCCTGCTGGTAAGCAATATTTGATGTAGTCATAAGCTTTTATTTCATTCTCATTGCTAGTGAGAGGTAATTATTGGTTGTGATAGAAAAAGAAAAGGAACCAATTTAAAGAGCAAAAAAGCTTTCATTATTATTTATGTTAGTGGCCACCTAGAAGAGTGGATAAAAACTGCCATTTTTCTTTAAAGTAAAAATTTAATATAAGAAAAATGTTTCAAAAAAGAATCTCCTGGAGCTGTGGTACCTTATCAAAGGCTTTCACTTACTATTTAGCTTGTTTTTACAAACTGTAGTTAAACATTATGTACTGCTGTGTTTCCAAGAGACCTGAACTACTTAACTAGGAGAAATCCSTGTCCTTTTCATTCCATCTCTCCTGCTGTAGCTACAAAGCTAAACTACAGTGAAAGCCCTATATGATTGTATTTAATTTTTTGTAGTGCCTTCTTTTTACTAGCTAGTTCCTAGGTAGTGACCCACCTCATTTACCTACATGGGGAGCACTCAGCAAAGGTGAACCAGTTCATCTATGAAGTCAGCAGCGCACATAAATTAGAACTTATTAAATGCTTGCATGACTTTGGAGTGCTATGATTTAATCTGCTTTGGAGTATCCACACAGGTGCTTAGTGTACTTAATGCTTAACATGTTTAGCTTTCAAAAAGTGTTCAACATGTTTCACATGCACCGTTCTGCTGATTTGCTCTAGCTTGCTTCCATGCCCCTCCCTGCATATGGACAAATCCTTAGAGGCTCAAGCTGGTTAAATTAATAGTTCTGAACATTGATCAACACGAGGTTTCAATTTCCTGTAGTATTCTCTTTCAAAAATGCTGATGTCTTTTGCTCTCTTGTTGTTTTTTGATTAATTACGCAAGTGATCCCCAATCATTTTGCTTCACTGGGTTTCTTTTTCTTGAGTCTGGAAGCAAAACATGATGAGATTAAAGGGGCTCAAAAAAGCCCCAAGTAATATAGAAGTGAAGGCTCAGGATGGACAAAACACATGGTGATTAACAAGGAGCCAAGCTGAAAAGCTTGTAGGAGTTTCTCTAGAGTGTGGATTTCAGATTAGAGGGAATTTGCATGAAAAAGACAGTATAGACAAGCTCTGAGCTGCATTATATCTAGAMCACACAGAGCTAAAGATTTAAAAACCGGGGATATTTCTAATCTTAGAATACTTTGATGCAAGACTCAAATTTCTTATCTTGTGAAGTCTATATTTAAATCACGATGTATGATCTAGTTAGACCAAGGTTTGTTAATTAAACTCTCATCTATGGAGAGCGTTTTAATATTTTGTGGAAATAGTTAATCAGTTTAGAGTATGAAATTAGAAATTGTTATAAATAGCACAGAGGAGGAATCTTGCACCATAACAATGACCTTCCTCTTGTTTTGTTTTTATTTATTTATTTATTTATTTATTTWTTAGGATTCTTCGTGCCACACTGTATCAGCCCACATACTATTCGACAACTCCTGTCATAGCATATTTTTTATTCAATGGACAACTATTGATCCTTCAAGGCTTGCATTTATACTGGGGTTATTTAATTTTCAGGATTTTGAGAAGGTTCATTTACTTAAAGGTAAGCAATCTTGCTTCTGCAGAAAAATATGTAAGATGCACTCAATAATATCTTTAGCAGATGTACTCAGAACGTCTTATTGTTTTCCTGAACTTTGAGGTCAGAATTTTTGATAGTGATGTACAAAGTATGAACACGGTCAGCTGTTCTTTCTACCCCCGTTGTCGTGTTGTCACATAAAAGCTCGTAGATCAGGATACCAGAACTTTGGCTGTACCTCATGACTTGCTCTCATGGCAAGTGAGCTGTCCTGAAAACTGCATCCTAAAGATGGTGCAGAGCTCAAAATCCTATGTTCAATTGACAGCAATTATTCCTCACTGGACCTTCTGTGAACACTACCAAAAAAATGAGATGAGAGACAATTTTTTTTAATGCTACAGAAAACCCCAGGTGTGTATAAATCTGAATTCAGCCGTACACTGTGTTTTTGGATTAAGAAAACCTAACCAAGCCCATCTGATATTATGTTAAGATATAGAAAATACTGTTGTATTCACCTGGAGTGGAGAAACAGTGTAGGGCTGAGGCATCATAAGCTGCTTTCACTCCCCACAGCAAATTCATGTGGGAAAAAGCTGTAAGGACAATTTTGTTGTGATCTGTTGTTGGAGTTTCACAAGGTCTCGTTATGAAGCATGCAGTGTGATGTAGTAAAAGTAAAGGTAGCAGCAGCATTGAGCARAGGACTTTGGAGACTGTATTTTAGTATTTGGCACGACCACTGACAGGGACATTTTGCTACTTAAGATGAAGCTTATRTCATGCTACTGAAAAACAGTATTTCTTCTGAGGATCGAGGCAAGAAAACATAAAAGGACAGAGTCATCTCAGCTTTCTCAAGCAGTTGATGCTGCTTGATGCTGATGAGGTTTCTTGCTGGATTAGGTGCTTTGATGAGTGACTCTGTTGTTGTTTTTTTCTCCTTTATTTAACCTTGTCTTTTCACAGAAACTCATGCAGCCAGGTTATGTATCTGTTWTTCTACCGGTCAATCTCAGCCAGATTTGATGGAGTTTCTTGGTTCCTACAAGTCTAATAAAAATAGACAGCTAGATAGCACAGAGACCCCATGTCTCCCCTAAAAGCGGACTGCATTTGCAAATTCAACCCATGTTAKACAGCAAACAGTTCAAAATGAGGGGCATATCTCTAGGGGAAATGGCTTGCTCCAAAAATATGTGCTTTTTTCTGTGCTGCTCAGTGCTCTCAGATTAATTACAAAGTCATTTTTGGCCAGGTTTGTTGAGTACTCTCAAGTGTTTTGCGTCTCCTTATTTTCTCTTTAGGTTGTGGCCTTGCCTCTGTGCTGAGCTGCAGTGTATATCTGWATTCCACATATTTCACTATAATTTGGCAGAATTTCTGTTTGACATCTGTTTTAGCTCATTGCTGTCAAAATATCAGCTGTCAGGGCATTTTGTCAAAAAGAGCTCCATTGACCAACATTATCAATGGRACAGACCTCCAAATTGTCTGTAACATCCAATCTTGTAAGATGGTGAGGAAGAGGCAGGTTTTTTTTGAGAAAGAAGCATCTTTCTTTCAAAAAAGGAGTTTGAAAAAAAAAAAGGACTGGTACTGCAGCCACTAGGACTGAAGATACTAGAYTGACCTTGGTGCAGGGAGATTTGTACTCCGTGCGGAGGTACGACCTTGGATGTGGAAAGCTCACATGGATCTATGGGAGAACCTGGTATGAAAAGGAATATGGTTGGAACAAGGCTGTAGTTTGGAAAGAGGAAGAAAACCAATTCCATGTGAACCATGGACCTGTAGATGCCTGGAAAAATTCCCAACCGTAGCTGAGAAATCAAGGATAGGGCAACAGAGAGAGCACAAAATACCACGGAATGAGGAGGGGCTTCGATTCCGTACACGAGGAATGAGCGTTCGCTATGTGCGGAGCCTGCAATAACAATGCCCCTTTCCCAGGACTGTTTCTTGAGGAAATCAGGAGAGCTCCTGCCTGCTTTGCAGCTGAGGAAGAGGAGGGCGTGGGCAGCATTTCCCATCCGCGCTGGCTGAGGTTCTGCGAGCCCATTGCAGGAAGGCCTCCAGCTACAGTGGCAAAGAGGACGTTATTGGGCCAGCTGTACAAGGCCGTTCTGCCCTGCCTGCCCCTATGCCTTTGTAAGGGGCAGAAACGCTTTATTTTGAGATAAGCACTTCAATTTCACATCAGTCATCGCTAAAAAGCAGCAAAGCCTTGAGCCAGCATCCTTGCCGTGGCTTTTTGATTCCTTATAGAGCTCTCCGCGAAGCCCGCTTCCAAATAGCAATTTTGCCGCGGCAGCAGCGGCAGCGCGAGCCCTTCGCGGCGTGCATGCCTTGAGCTGGCTCGCGAGCGCAGCCTCTTTCCCACAGCAGTGGCAAACCTGGCTGCGAAAGCAGCCAGTGCCTCCAGGGCCGTGAAGGCCACGCCGAGAGGAGAGCGGCGTTTGCGAGGCAGCGTTTTGACACCAACACGTTTCCTGCACACGCGCCCCACACCAACAGCTGCCGCTGTTTTAGCGGAATATCCGCGGATATTAGCGGAATATCTGTCAACCGTYGCCCTCGCATTAGGAGGGTTTTGTTTCCGTGCCGAGGCTGTAAAGCTTCCATTCAGAAAACAGGCAAATTCTGACTTTTTTTTTCTTCGTGAAGCAACAGTTAGCTACTTCAGATGGAAAAACAAGGTCATGCTGTAACCRGGAGCAGGGCCCGGTGTTGGTGTTGAACTGTGTGCGCCGCGCCGGGGCTCCGAGCGCAGCGGGGATGTGGTGGTGCCCTGGCCCCGGTGGCGGCAGCTCCCTGGGGACGGTCCCTGTGCCGCCACCAGCAGCTCCCRCGTCCTGCCAGGAGGCCAGGCCCTTCCCTGGTTGTGCCTGTCTGGCCCCATCATCAAACTGTTGGAAAATCAATGGGCTTGGGTGCCTTTTGCTCCCTGGGAAGCGCTGTTGTCCATCGTTCAAGCTCAGGTTGAAGGACTTTCTGGGTCACCTATGAAGTCCAGGGCTCAGCAGGACCCATCACTGGGAAGCCCCGCTCTCCAGCGAGCCCCGTGCACCCAGAAAGACTGCGCCGTGGCCGTCCCCTCCCCTCGGCACCAGTATCGGGGAGTTACCCCTATAGTTTGGGATAGTTCCCTGATGGGGGAGTTACCAGGACTGACCAAAGTGAGGCAGAAAGAGAAGATGGAGGGAGAGTCTCTTGCTCCGTCCSTCTGTGTCACGTTTCCTTGGGGCCTGTGCAGGTCCCTGCCCCATGGAAATCTGTTGCCACAAGCCGAGTGACACTTACAGCTACTTTGCCTTAGGTCTGGATTCTTTGTTTTCTTATGGGGAAACTTGAGGGATCAGAAGCATTGCGTGATCTTCCAAGCAAGCATTGCTCTTCCGTATAATATATTAAAAAACCACCCAGATAAGGTAAKTCAGGGGTTGCCTCCTTTCTCCAGGCCATTGCCTGATGCTCTTCATGGCACTCGTGTCTACAAAAAGCCCCTCAAGGTCATCCCTGGAGCCATTTATCCCAGGTGGGTTGTGCTGCAAGAGGAGCAAGGACATTTCTGAGCGTCATTCCTTTGCAAGCGATCGCGGTGCCGAGCTGCTGGCTGCCATCGTGCCGTGCAAGGCCCTGCGTTGSTAGGAGGCTCCGTGTGTTTCTGTAATATTGTTCAGCTACACGGTGGAATCGCCCACTCGCATCGGGTTTCAAGCACCCCTGAAACATGTCTAGTCATCATGTCTGCACATGTGAGAATATTTTAGGAAAATTGAAAAAACATATAGGGAAGTATGTACATGTGCACTGATTTAAAGTATCTCGCCAGGAAAATCCCGTGGAGATTAGCCGTTGTATTTCCAAGGTCAGAAAGAGGGAGCGAATGACAGCAGCTTATAGCCACATTATTATAGCAAATTAAGATGTAAAAATATATGTTAAAACCATTACTCACTGCGTTAAGGTTTTGAGACAACGGGGCTTTAAATCGTGAAAAATATGTCTAAGCTGTAGGAAATGGGCATGGTGTCCACATGACTCAGATGCTTTYGGGCTGATGCAAAGTCCATCAATGGCAGAAGGTAAGGGCAGATTTTAATAGTGCTGTAAGGTAACCGAAGGGGATGTTTTCCTGCTCCTTTTGCTCTCCTAATTGTTTTCCTGCCCTCAGGCTGTCTTCAAGCCGGGCAGCGAGCTTCTTCCTGAYGCTGACTGTGATTTAGGAGTCCTCAGCCACCTCTTTAACTCACCTTGGTTATTTCCTTCTCCTGGAGCAGAAAATACCCCGGGGTCCTGCAGCTCTACGCTCATGCTTTTGAGTTTGTCATTTAAAAAAACTGGCGAGTATCCCCTCCATGTTGGCAAGATTTCTTTTTATTTTGTACTCAGAAAACACAAGGGTTTTTAAGACTTTAGGCATGTCTGTGACCATGGGTTATTCATAACTTATTTGGGTCAGTTTCCTAAGGGATCAAGGAGAGTTAGTGTTCAGAGAATGACTAATGATGGAGTGTGGATGGCTGGGAATGATAAGAAAATACTACTTTAGGGTTGAAATGATAGCTGTGAGGTATCTGCTTCCATGCTTCTGTCCCTTCAAGCACTCGTTCCTTCACTTCAGCTTGTTGTTTTGTCTGATGGTTGTTCTCGCGCTGTCATAACAACCTTTTTCTTTCTTTTCTTTGGGCTTATTTACTGATGTTGGCAGCCCAGTACAGTCCTTGCCCTGAAAGTGGTTAGCCATGTAAAGACTCCTTAAGCCACTCCTGGTCCAACAGGTGCAGGTAGGTGAAAGAGGAGTGTGGAGGCTTCCTCTGCCTCCTGTATCAGCCATGCCGTAAACGAGGCTCTTGCGTGTTGCGTAAAAATTTCCTTAGCCTGACGCTCCCCACGTTGCTGCGTTGCACTGTGGTAGGAGCCACAGACGGTCCCTGCCTCTGAGCAGATCCCTGCCTCTCCCACGCCGGTGGCTGGCACGGGCAGCCTCAGTCGAGGTGACTCCCTCATCTGAA